CATCTTTTCTTGTAACCTTGTAAGCAAATGGTAAGCCCTAAAGCAATGAAATGGAAAGTTTGTTCATTGTCACAGATCGAGTATATTATTTTCAGCAGATTCGTTTATTTCATAATCTGTACACTTGAACCGAAGTCACAGACTCAAACTGGGTTAGTGGACCAAATTAGGTTACTGCCTACTAGTTGAAACTGAGTCACAGGGTCAAAATGAGTCATTGGGTGAAATTGGGTCAAACTGGGTCAATTTGAGCAATTGAAGAAGGTATAAGTGACCTAGTGACCCAGTTTAACCCAATAACCCAGTGACCCTGTGACCCAGTCCAACTCTGTTCTACATGCGTTGTGAACAGTGATTTCATTCAACCTCTGTAGAAATCATTTATTCTGCAGTAGACCACGTTTCTCACTCACTCTAATTGAAAAAAGAATTCCGCATTTGCAACTACAATTTATCTTCCTCGACTGTATATTGCAACAATTAAAACATCCCCGCGTACGGAGAAGGAGAACTCTTTTTCTGAAGGAAAGAATGGAGGAGTCTTTCCTACAATTTTTCCCGTAAAATGAGTAGTCTCCTTGATATCAGGGTCGAAAAATGACCAGATTTTAAAATTTCACTTTTTTTTAAAAAAAGTTATCAACATTTGAAGGGTTGTATTTCGGCAAGAATTGAACCTACGGAGCTGGCTCTGATTTCAATTTGTAGAATTTTAGTCTACTGTAATAGTTATTTATACAACTAATTTTGAAAGTGATACTTTTTTTCATGAATTTGCAGTTTGATTCATGGAAAAAAAGACACTTTCAACACGTGTTGTACACAAAATTTTTTTGCATAGTGATCCATAATAACCCACAATTGAATAATTTGATTGACATTCGCCATTTACTGTCACTCAAAAGTGGATGCTATTGTTCATAGACAAGACTAAACTCCATGGAAACGCATAGTAAAAATCGTGAAAAAGAGTACCACTTTCCATACGATTTTTCGTTTAAAAAAGTCCGATAATTTCATCACTATGTAAAGCAAACATTTTTAATAAAACGCATAGTGCGAAAATGTCGTGGTTTTTCAAGTGCTGCAAAGTTAGCACAGGTCTTTCAAAGCCGGAAACTTAGATATACACTGCTGGTAGTGGTCCTAAGAACATGTAAAAAATCAGAAGTAGCCGTTAGTTTGCGATTTTAGCGATTTCTAGTGTTAGATATGATTGGCCTATTTACTATCAAATGAAATTTGGCATTTCGATAGTAATGTTACTCGTAAATGCGAAAAGGTTCGGAAAGGAAGGAAACGTGTCGATGATGAATTGGGTAAGGGATTATTTTGGGAGATTTTGGATCCATTCGCGTTTCAGCCACCGATGCGACCAGTGCGTGGTCCATAGTAAAATTTTGCATACTGTAGTGTGGGTCACTAGACCAAGCAGTGTTTAGAGAAAGAAGTAAATTAATTCTCCGAGAGATTTTAGTAGTTTACTAGGTAACCCGAGGACGTTTTAGAAGGAATCCCGTCGGGAACTACCAAGAGGTAATCACGTAGTTTAGTCGCGAAATAATTTCGTTCTAGCTTTGCAATAATATGAGGGTTAACAACCTTTAATCGTACTAAATAAAATTAATCTTCTACTGTAACTGATAATTTTTTGTGTAACGCAAATTGTTTAACTGACGACTAGCTCCAAAACAAACTTCAATGCCCTTACCTTTGAATTCTGAAAATAAAGGCTTATCGCTTTGGTTTGACTGCAGACAATAAATACAAACTTAAAATGAAATGATTGTATATATTGGTAAACCAAAATTAATCCAGACTATTTTTCCTTCTTTAAATATTTTATACGTTGACAACGTTTACTCGAGTGGCAACGTTTCTTTCTACCCTACATTTAAACTTCAATAATCAAAAATTTGGGAATTTTAGTAAACCCTTTATAACTAATAATGTTGAATTTTCTCATTTAAATGACAATTTAAGTACTATTTCCAAAACCACTAAAATTCCTTCTATATGAATTCAATTCAACACACGCAGTCAATTTACAGAGTTCAGCTCCTTTAAGAATTTTCTGATTATCTTCAATATTTTCACAATTTCTTAACGAGAATCGATCGTTATTTTTTACACAAATCAAAAAATCTACGTTACCTTAATCGATGGTTTCCCTATGGTATAAAACGGGACGGCCCTTCTCGAAAGGATGGTGCCTTAAAACTGGCCGATATAGGAACACGATTGGGTAATGAACTTCTATTTATGGCCCGCTGTTAAACCGCGTTACGCGTCACCATGTAAGTGATTATTAGTGCACTATCAGCCCAAACAAATACAAGGTTACTTTGATTTCTGTCCGGAAAAAATTCAGCCGTACTTTTATGGTTTTTTGACAGATTTTAAAACGGATTTGAACAAGGATATAAATTATTCGCCGAAGTTGTTACCTCTTTTCAATTTAGAGTAAAAAGAAAAGAATTCATTGACCATAATTACAATTTTTTGACTTTCGGTTTGGCTGGAAGCAAATTAAATTTAAAAAAATAGAACATACCTTATACTGTTTTTTATGATTGAATACGCAATAAAAAAGAACACAAGTACTTTTAAGTTTTATTTTTTTACTGCGTTTACGTGGGCCTCTTTTGTCAGTGTGTAACAAAACTGGATCACAAAATAAGAACTTGTTTTGCAAAATTAACCTTAAAAGCCAGTTTTTATTTCAATGGAGAAAAACAAGATTGAAGATACCAATGTGAAGTTTGCCAGAATATAATGCATAAAATCGGGTTTTACCAATTCTTGTAATTATACCTACTGTAGTGTTTATATCAAGGCAGTGACGAAGAAACGCCGAAGCAAGGACGACAATACGCGACGCCTTGCGGCCCATCCCCGCGAATTCCCGCCGGAATAGTTACACTACAACGTTGCCATTTTAGATAGTGTATGGTTGGTTGCCTAAGTGCCAGTAAACTTTCGATTATCATTACATTTGTCTATGATTGTACCTTCCTCCAACATTTTCGAGATATTCACAAATAAGTTTTTACATCGCCAGTAAATATGTCTCGTCTAGACGATCTTTCCGCACTTTGAAAGCACCCTCTTCCCACACTTCGTTTTCAAGATATTCGCTTTGACTTCACCAATATGTCTTGTCCAGATGATTCATTTTGCCTTTGTGAGTACTCTTCTCCGACAAACCGTTTTGAAATCACCATTGGATATATTTCTTGTAGACGTCCCAATCGTCCTTTGTGAGTACCTACCCTCCTCCGGCAATCTGTTTTTGAGATATAGGGAATTATAGCCAATCACGATAAGGGTCGAGAAGAAGAACTGTGGTTGGTAGAAATTAATTCCTTTGGTTGAGACCATTCATTACAGTACCATGAAGGGTAAAAAAAGAAAATCTATAAAACATTTCCAATTGTGTAACAATACAGGCTGATTAAATTTCGAGGGACAGGTAGGTAGTTTAAATTTGGCAAAGTTGCGTATTTGATGCTTACCAAATTGCCGTTTTGAAACTGACAAAATTCCGACTACTTTCGGAGATATTCGGAAAAAAACGAAATTTTGCAAAATTATTTTTATTTTTCACCAATGTTATTTAAAAAGATATTTTAAAATAAATGACACAATATTATGGCCACTTTTTATCTTCTACAAGATGCTAGTTTTAAATTTTAAGTCTAACGTTTCGTCTCTGGTCATCCATCATCAACTTTGTTTTTTTTTATGAAAGTCATTTTTACTTTTTGTCATTTGATAGAGCGTTTTTTGCTGATTTCAAAAATGTAAACATCACTATCGCTCCAGCTGGTTGTTGAACATTACAAAGGCGATAATTCATAATTCATCATCATTTACCGTCATATCGTCGCTGTAGGTCTGATTCGGCGCCTGTATGAAACCATCAACATCGCTAAGGGGTTTCTTACATTGAGAGAGGTTTGCCCGATTTAGAAATTTGTTAAATGGAAGTCGCTGTTAGGAGGCTAATATTTAATGCATCCGCAACTCTCTGCGAAATGAAACTTGTTACGTATACGAATTCTTTTATTACAAAAATAACCACTCACCTCTCCCAGCAAACACACGTTACGTTTAAACACAGTTTTAAAGCGTTTTGAAAGGATAAATTCGGTATAGGTAGTATGGTATACGTTTTTGTGTAGACCGATTTTATACCCACGTTTAAAATACGATTTTTATTCATATATATAAATCATAGAGTTCAATTTCTACGTTGATAATACGTATATAAATAACCGTTTCTTAGCAATCGTTTTAGTCCGTATATATATGTTTTACATATTTTTTTGTAATTCAACAATTTGAGAAGGGCCTAGATAAAAACAAAAGTGGATCGCAGAGACGCAGACTACACTTAAATTAATGTTAATCTGTTATTGGTTTCTAAGTGTTATTCTTAACTATTGTTTATAGAAATAAAATAAATACAATGTAAAACTAGCACTGGCCTACTGACTAGTAAACAGTGTATATACATATAACTACCAACAACAATTGAGTACCAAATTCTTTAGGGAAATGGCAAAACTCTCTCCTTCGATCGGTAAGAACAAATGAGGTTTGAAGATGCAAATATACAGCGATATAAAGTCGCATCTAATTGGATTTGCATGGGGCGCAAGATTTGCCCTTAAGTGGACGAAAAGTGAAATTAGTTTCGGCGTTATCAATAAGTTTGTAAACTTGGGCGAAGTTTCGGTAGCGTAGAGATGATATCTTTAATAATCATCATTTCGTATTTATGGCCCTGAAAATGTAGACGAACGTTTGTGCAAATCCCCCCGAAGCATACTTGATTAATAGACTACAAGCAACCCATTTAGTAGTTTGTAAGTTTGCCATTGGGGTTGAATAATCTGATAACGACTTTATGCCACTGTAATAGGGTAAAGTTTTGATATAGAGCGCCGATTAACTTTTGTAGTTTTAATTTACATTTATTATTTCTATTTTTTCAGGTACCGATAAGACGTCACATTCGCACCTCTCCCCTAAGGGTTACAATAGTATTTCGGATACATTAAGTCGATCCAAATGTGGTAAGTAAGTAACTATTAAATATTCGAATTTGATTTAAGTACCTAACGGTTTTTATGGCAAATAAATTTCAACAAAGTATACCGTACACGTACCGTTAATTTTACACCAAAATTCCTTTGTAATATCGCCTTTGTTACCTCCCGCCATAATGCTGCACAGTCTACTTTCAATATTTAGTAGGTAAATGTCTACTTAAGATGTTCAATTGAAATGATTTTGACGGCAAGTAATACAGCGGTCTCACTCGTATCACAGATTTAAATCTGTGCTCGTATTAAACGGTTTTTTGACATTATACATGTATAACATAACTCGGATACTTAAATTACGCCGAAGATATTTTCCTCGCTGATTTTTTGCGTAAACAAACGTTGAATTCTCCCTGACTTTGAAGCTAATGGGTAAATAGTGATGCAAAGTTGCAAATTTTCCATTTTCTCCTAATTCTTCTGGTTGATTAAATTAGGGGTGGTTCTTGTTGTATAATTATAATGATATACCGCGGCTGCTCGTCGGTCAATAGCCCTCTTCTGGCCTCCAGGATTAGAGGTAAAACTAAAAGATGAAATAAAATATCAAATATCTTTATTCAAAGTTAACGATTCTTATTTTCATATCGCGTTTACTGTAAGAGAACACATTTTAGTGATTGGAGGGAGGGGGTTTGAGGCGAAACGATCCTGTAAGGTAAATGGTTAGACCGCATTCATACGTAAAATCCTACTTCGCATTGGTAGGAAATACTTAAACTTTATTTATAATCGTATGTGAAACCAACACAAGGTGAAATGAAAATTACTTCTATCTGTACAAACAAGACTGTTCCTCGAATCCTCGGCCATATCTCGGGAACCGTTCGTCGTTTGACTTAGTGGTAAAAAAATTATTGGGTAAATCGGTCATGAAGAATCGCTGGGAAATATTTTCAAGTTCTAAAAATGACCACCAGAGGGCTTACCTGCCATCTTACATTTTAAAATTGCATTTTCTTTAAATTTCGCATAAGAAACTGAACATTCTTTTTTCACATTTTCTATCATCTTCGTAAAAACAAAAACTCAGTTATTTCAAAAACAAAGATGGCGTGGGGCGTTCAATTGTTTTTGCAATCACCTGCTTTAACTTTTTAACTGTTTGAACGATTGTAACAAATTTCGTATTGTTGAAAAAAGCATTCATTGGGCAGCAAGAATCAATCAAAATGTAGTTAATTTAGTTGAATCCTTCTCCGCCAGGGGGCTAGTTTTCACACTATGATTTCTTTATGAAAAAGTAGCCAAATAACACCCAAAGAGGTCAGAGAAAAGAAAACCGTTTTTCAAAATCTTGTTCCTAACCTCAAATATTGGGAAAATGAGATTGATTAATTAATTAATTAATTAAAATGCTTATAAATTGTATCTTATTTGACGTATTTTTGGTATTTGTCGATGGCGCGAAAGATTGTTTGGAAAAGGACCCTACACTTTTAGGTAGGCCTTGGAAAATTAAACAAATGAAACACGATGATTTATAAGATAATAACAGCCGTAATTGTAAATTATTCTGCTGTGTTTACATACAGAAAGTGCAGTTTTTTGATTTTGTAATCTTTTCTAAAATGCCGATTTCTAACCAAGAAGCATTTAATAAGCTGGCGGGGTTGGTTCGTGGTCGATTCGGATAACGTAAATAGAAGATGCGGGCAGCGATGGTCGCATTTTGAAAACACTCAAAATATATCGCCAGCATATTAAATGCTTCTTGGTTAGAAATCGGCATTTTAGAAAAGATTACAAATTCAAAAAACTGCACTTTCTGAATGTAAACACAGCAGAATAATTTACAAATTACGGCTGCTATTATTTTATAATGCATCGTGTTTCATTTGTTTAATTTTCCAAGGCCTACCTAAAAGTGTAGAGTGCTTTTATCGACAAATACCGGAAATACGTAAAAAGTAAATTTAAGATACAATTTAAGCATTTATATTAATTAATTAATTAATCTCATATTTAAGGTTAGTAATGAGATTTTGAAAAACGGTTTTCACTGGCCTCTTTGGATGTTATTTGGCTACTTTTTCATAAAGAAAAAGTCATTTCATTTCATTTGATTTTTTTAGAATCTTGGATCGTAGTGTCAAAACTAGCCCCCTGGTGGAGACGGATTCAACTAAATTAACTATATTTTGGTTGATCTCATTGCCCAAGCAATGCTCTTTTCATCCATAACAAATTTGATAAAATTGGTCAAACCGTTAAGAAATTTAAGGCTATTACAAATTCAATTGAACGCCCCACACCATCTTTTTTTTGAAATAACTGAGTTTTTGTTTTTACGAAAATGGTAGATAAACTGGTTCTTTTTAAAAATGTGAAAAAAAATTTTTTGTTTATTATGTGAAATTTAAAGAAAATGCAATTTTAAAATTTAAGATGGCAGTTACGCCCTCTGTTGGTCATTTTTAGAACTTGAAAATATTTTCCAGCGATTCTTCATGACGGGACGAGGGTGGTGGCACCTTCTTTCCTGCTGCGAGTTTTCATAAGTATCGTAAATTGCGGTGTCTGGGCGACACTGACCTGTTGACCGGACTCAGTCCGGTGGTGGTTGTGGTGGTGATTGTGGCCGGCTGCTGTCGGTTAAGGCGGGTGGTGGTTCAAGCGCGTTGCTGAGAAGTTGGAAGACGTAGGTAGAATAACGTGGCGGTTTAAAAGAACACATATTACATTGTATACGGTCAATAAAGAACAACATATATACATCTTAAAATATATTCAGGATCAGATGGCGAGTATCAAACTACTAAGGGGTAGTGGTACATAGGTCAGCCGCCTCTAATCGCTAGTTAGAGTAGGCTTCGCCTGCTGAGTAAGGGTAACATTGTTGTCCTTCCAGCTTTCTCACGGTTAAACCAGTTACCAAATTCGTGACAGAACAGCTTCCTAGCTCAATCCTCTTTTAGAAGACTGTCTTCAAAAAATAATAAACTTAGACAAAAACGTTCCCCACGAAAGTTTATTATTTTCCGATGTAGAATAAGAATATTCAAGGTATCTATTTGAAAAAATTAAGTTGCCCTACACTTTACCGGAACTAGCAGTCCAAAAGAAATGACCCTATACGCCCTCGTCCCGTGTATCAATATATTTTATGCAAAAATGCTTGCTTCAAAACTAACAAACCTCCTCTCTACCTGGTCTCTACTTGTCCTCTACCTGCGCATTACCTGCTCTGTTCACTATCACTACTCCACCTCACTGGGTTTTGATTATATAAATAATAATAAATAAATAAATAAATAATATAAGTAATCTTGCTACTGGTTTATTGATCTGGAATGTCTTATCCTCGTTGCCTTTTTACTTATTCGAGACTTGCATACCACGAAAGGGTTGGAGGCCGATCAAGACGTCGTTCGGAACCCTTCTCCATTTCGGCGGTCTAGTTTTCTTGGAAAGCGCAGTAAATTTATTACCCTTTTCAACAAAATTACAATTGACAAAATTATTTAATACGATTCTGAGTTACTGTTTTTATTTATAAATACAGATTGCTAATATAAACATCAGATTTTACGTTCTGAATCACTTACAGCTACGTTTGGTATTATTGTCAATTCACAGAGGTTTCGTAACGCTAATAAGCCCCTCCCCCAAGGGAAGATCATGAAATTAATAAAAAGGGATATAGAGCACCTTAATTAAGCGTATTGAACAATAAAATTTGCGGAATAAGCCCTAAATTTTTCACAATCTTAATTAAAAGTTTAATTCGATGATGTACAACTATTATACATGTGTTTTTAATTATACCATAATAGCAGTAAGTAGTTCTCTAGATAGAAAAGGCGTTCCAAGTTAATCGGTGATCGCTACCAAAGAGGCGATCTACGGAAGGTGCGAGAGATATTCCTTCCCCTCTCGACTGTATGAGGCGGTGGATGCTACCGCCAACTTAAGAATGACGAAATATAAGTAAAATTACACCAGATTTCGAGGAAATGAAGTGAACTTTCAATTACGATTGTGGAAAATTTAGGGCTACTTCCGCAATTTTTTATTATTGAATACGCTTAATTAAGGTGCCCTGTAGCCATTTTCATGTACCCGGAATTTCTTTAGGAACCTACTCTTTAGATGATGTCACGCCAAATATGGAAATCGAGTATAACAATTTTAAATTTGTACCACATTTTACTACGAGTACAAAACATGGACACAACGTTTCACCATCGCAATCATCGTAAGCAATCGATAAGCATAAATCCACCACCAATCATCGTGCCAATACCGACCATCACGATATCTGTCTGATGACAAACTGTCGCCAGTTTCACTTTTGTTTTAAATTCCACCAGTGTGAAGAATCCCGTTATCATGCTTAAGACGCATCCGACGAGTAAAAAGGCCTTTTCAGTCGGCCTGTGAGGTTCGTCAAATGCGTACGCCATAATGATGGCGAACAAAACCAAGGTATAACCATAAGCGCAAGCAATATTCATTTCCAGTAGACCTTTGCGAAAACACCAACTGATAGCACATCTCGAAATCAGAACGCAATTTATTACACAAAACACCTGCAAGCGGAAACGGAGATGCTTATGCAAAACGTCATAACAGTTACTTACAAGTTCTATTATTTTGAACAAGAATCCTAGTTCTTTGAAAAGATCGATCAATGTTTTTGGCATTTGTAAGTTTTGCTGCCAACTTTAGCTGTCAAGACGGCAAGTAGCCTACTCGATTTCACATTTAAATCAGATTTTGACACTCCATAGCACTAAACCCAATTCTGCTGGGAGCGAAATAATATGCAAGAGAAAATAAAGCGCGTTAAGATTAGAACGAGTGTTCAAGTAGATAGGGAGTCGAAACGCCACAGTGCGGCCGGTTTTAAAAAGCGTCGTGACGGAATATGAGAGATCTTGTTTCTGCCATGTATAAAAAAAATGAATAAACGCTTGGTTTTCGTTAGAGTCGTTTCTGCATTCGAGCCCGGCGAGTATATAAGTAAAAATCGGGTGGGAGAGAAGGATTCTTAGCCAAACTCTCGAGGCTTGTAGCTTAATTCCTACCGACCTTGTGAATTAATTTACGCTCCTTTCAAAATTACGTCTAGTAATTAATTGAACCATCTTTCTTCAATAGCCTATCGGAAGCTATGGACCCCACGATTTCCTAAAACCATAAAAAGGTCAGCACGCTATAGAATTCAATTACGCAGAAGAAAAATATGATGGCTAACTTTAAATGGAAACGCTGAACGCAGAACTGGTTGAATGCTACTTGTGAGAGAATTTCCAACCTTCCAAATACAGACTGCAGGGTTGTCCTATAAAAAAAAAAACAAATTCGGAAACCAATTTTGCTCCCAGTTTCAAAATCTGATTTAAATTAGAAGTCGAGTAGGCCACTTGCTGTCTAAACCTTGAAATGCCAAAAACATTGATAGCTCTTTTCAAAGAACTAGGCTTCCTGTTGAAAATAATCGAACTTGTAAGTAACCCTAACGACGTCTTGCATAAGCATCTCAGTTTCCGCTTGCAGGTGTTTTGTGTGATAAATTGCGTTCTGATTTCGAGATGTGCTATCAGTTGGTGTTTTCGCAAAGGTCTACTGGAAATGAATATTGCTTGCGCTTATGGTTATACCTTGGTTTTGGTCGCCATAATTATGGCGTACGCATTTGACGAACCACACAGGTCCACTGAAAAGGCTTTTCTACTCGTTGGATGTGTCTTAAGTATGATAACGGGGATCTTCACACTGGTACAATTTAAAACAAGAGTGAAATTGACTGAAGTTTGTCATCAGGCAGATATCGTGATGGTCGGTATTTGCACTATCGTTGGTGGTGGATTTATGCTTATCGATTACTTACGACAATTGCAATGGTGAAACGTCGTAGTATTAGTAAAGTGTGGTATAAAATTAAAATTGTTCCTTGATTCTTTTGAAGAAAGTCACGTTATTATTATTTATTTTTAACAGAAACTCAAATAAAGATGTTTAAATTTCTCGTGATATAATGAAACTTAAGTAACTTAACCTAAAGAAAGCTACAATTAAGTAACTTAATAAAACTTCAATTTGAAGAAGGTAAACGGAATCCAGCAACACAACATGTGGAAAAGAGGCATGGGGAAACGAGGGCATCTTCTGTCACATAACAAGAGAGAAAAGTAAAGTAAAGTAAGTAATGACAACCGCAAGAGGCTCATTCAATTTGTAGTGTAGTAGGGACGTATGTACCTGGACCAATCCAAGGTAATTCGCCGTCTGGCGGTGACGTTAGAAAGTAGGTCAAGCTGAAGTTCAATGATAGCTCACCCCCAAAGGTCAATAACCGCATTTTTTTGTGGTGTAATATTTCGGTTTCCACATCATCAAGGTTCAATGACTCCAGTTTTGTGACACCACTGTTGCGGTGGCATATTTGATTTGCCTGAGGGAAATGACCCTTTTTTGATGTGTCATATGTCATTAGGGGCGACCTTGGAAAATAGGTCAAGGTTAGGTTTGAAGGTCGCTCACCTTCTGGAGGTGACCTTGAAAAGTAGGTGAATGTGAAATTTAAAGGTCGTTCGGCTCTTGGAAAGTCTTTGAAGATGTAACTCTAAAGGTCCGTTGCTTCGAAAAATGAGTCAACACCTAGTTCGAACGGTCGTTAACCACTGAACCTCAATCCCCTCTCCAAATATCAGGTGGAAAATGGGTCAAAGCACATTCGGTCGTTCAACCCAAGTGTCAGGTGGGAAATTGATACATAAACGCTGTTTGGTCGTTCACCCCGGACAATCGGTTTAATATTAGCCATTAGACCTTATAAAACTATGTACCTTGCACTTTATTCTTTGGTAACATGTATTTACTTTATTTGATCTACAGCGCTATTTATTGAAAAGTAGACAGTAGAGATTTACGTGTATTGTTTTTCCCTGTCTACTTTTAAATGACAAATTCCTTCTGAAGGCCGCCTAATTTTATGCAACCAAAATAACTTCTAAAAACAAATAAAGATCTGGCTGTCAATTAATGAATTTGAATATTGTTGCGTTGGGTTGACAGAAAATAAATCCCTTACGCTTCTTAAACTGCTACCGCCACTCAATTGACAATATTAACGTTTTCTTCAGTTGAATACATCACGCGCGAGAATAAAAATACGGAAGCCAAAACGACAATATTCAAATTAATTAATATCACCGAAGTTTTGTACAAACCAATTTCATTCGATTTTGAGACCTTTCATTGGAATATCATGAAGAGTAGAACATGTGTTAACCCCCCCCCCCCCTTTTTGTTAACAGTTTTACTTGGCATCACTAAAGGCTTGTGAATGCAAAATCTGAGAACAATTGGTTGTCGCATGCAAAGGTTATGCACGTTTTACTTTTAAAAACAGCATGCCAGGAAATAATTCATGGAGGGCCTCTCCCTTCAGACACCGAAATTTGATGGCCGTCTGGAACACCTTCAAGGTATAGGCTACATATTGCAAAAAAATCCAGGACCTAGGACCATTCCCCTAGAAGTAGTTCAAAACGGCAGAAGTGGGTCAGCCGACAAAACGCAAACAATAGCACATTTTAAGATTTAAAAATAATCACGTGATCGATAGCTTGAGTTACTTTTCAAAACCGTGTAAACAATTCTCCAACTTCACCTTGACTTAATTCCCAAGGGCCCCACCAGGAGTCACCGACCGTTGAGCTTCATTTTCACCAACTCTATAAAGTCATCACCAGGAGGTGAGAGACCGTTAAGCTTCATCTTGACCTACTTTTTTTGGGAGAAGAGCAAGAGTGACTTTAATTAATAGCTACAGCTGTAGACGAGCGACCTACTTTTCAAGGTCACTTGGAGAACGTAACTTTGACCTATTTTCCAAGGTCCCGACTAATAAAATGCCCCATAAAAAATGGGGCCATTCACATCCGTGACTTTTGAAAATGAATTATGACACCACAAATCGGGTTACACAAATGGAGTCACTGAACTTTAATAAAATATGACACAAGAAATGGGGTTATTAACTTTTGGGCGCGAGCGATCTTTGAGCTTTTCCAACGGGATTGTTACATTTACAGGGGTTGAACACCCTGCTTCATTTCTACGGCACTGGTAAAAATTAATCTTTTGTAATTAATAATATACCACGGCTAGCTCAGTAATATATAAACTTTTAATTACTATTACCACAGATATACGTTATGTATATCTGTGCTATTACCCTGCAGAACGTTGGTTTTTTGCGTCTCTTATAATCTGAAACTCAAAAACCTGATGCTCTGGTTTGATCACTCTGAAATAAATACTCATAAATTGACTGATTTGAAATATTATTAAACTTAAAAGATGTACTTCATGTAAAAAAAATAAATTAAAGCCCACGCTAAAAAGTAGTATTTCTGAACTTGTAGTTTACAATTAAAAAGAGAGGCAAAAAGAAAGAAATTACCATTATCTGTAGTCTGAGTGCACTACTTTTTACATTTAATTTATAAAAAATACCCAAATCAGCTCACAGGATAAAACCGTATAAGTCGACCTCTTCAGCAATATAAAAATGACTTCTAGCGTACTTTTATCGATGTGTTGAAATTTTCTCCAATTGTCAGTTGGATTTCAACAGCACCTCTTGTATTACCAACTGTGTGTAAATGTTAAAAATGTACCCTTGTAACTTAGGGTTTTTACAGATAATTAAACTAATTGTCTTTTAACCTTTTTACTGGTAGCTGTTATGTTCATAATTTTTGTTCGCACTTCATATAAAGACATTGGATGCACAACTTTGATTAATAAATTGGTTTTTTATGTAACTTGGCACTACAAATATGGTGCAATGGAATGTTTTGCACCTTAGACCCTAACACTTTCGTGGTAACAATTTATTTAATTGCGAACACCAATAATGCACCAAAACGAAAAATGTTGGCTTACGTTATTAATACGGTAACGTTTCGCAATATTCAAGGTTGATGATTATATCAGCAGTCCGATCGCTTCTTTCGCCACGCAGTGAGGTTCTCCTTTTTCACACTGTTACGGTAAATTTTTAATTTATTTTTTGCGCTATTTATTTTGAGTTTTAGGTTAGGAATTTTGTTTATTTTGTTTTGAATATCATCCGATAGGCGTACTCATTTCCTTAAATCTTTTCTCTTGATTTCTTCGCTTCCTTCGGTTCTTGCACCCTTCTTACAATTTTGATCCAACTTTTCACAATCTAAACGCTTCTTCTTTCCTTACTGTTGTCACTCTTCTAATTTTCTAAGTATATGTGTAAAACATTTTATTCAAAGATACGCTTCTGATCCACCATCTGTTGTCATTTCTTCTAAACTACGCTATTCCTCCCCGCTCTTTTCAAAATTCTATTCTTGTTTTCCCGCTTACTTTTTATGTTCCTTAATTATTGGTAGTACTGATAATTTTCTACGTTTCGTTTCCGTTGTTATGATTTGTCAATTTTTGTCTTGTAGCCGCTTAAATCCAAAAATGTTGGGATTTCTACCTTCTTAAAATTCGCTCTACTTATTAGAAGGGATTAGAAGTTTTCCTTATAAACCCTATTTTGGGGATCACGAGTTTGTGTTTGTGATTTTCCATTTACAACCAATATATACGGGGTGAATATTCCAAAACCGACACATAGGGAATTAACATGGGAATAACGTTTTTTTGTAGATCGTTGCCCCCCATGTTAACTTAGAGGGTTTATAATGGCACCAATCGAAAGAAGATTTTTTTTCTTATCTAATGGTATGCGAATTAGTTAATTTTCAGTTGTATTTCTCCTTATTTTATCAAAAATTCGGCAACACTGTTTAGTAGCGTTTCGACTCTTATCTGATTGTACACTTGTTTCTTATCTTAACGCGCTTTCTTTCTCGAATATTAGTTCTGTGCTCTTTCATTAAGAAGCGGTACACATATAAAATTTATTATGTCATTATAAAAAATCTTTAAAGGATAAACGACCACCCAGGCCAGGTGACCACCTGTTATACTTCACCTTGACCTACTTTCCAAGGTCACCGCTAGATGGCGAACAAAATGGAACTGATCCAGGTACGCCCCTGCTATACTACTCACAAGGTGTTATATGATAGCAACCTGTTTCTTCTTTCGAACACTGTGCAAATACCTTGACTACCAAAATTATAAATTTTTTGTATGGTATGCAAAATTCTAGGAACAGACATTTACCTGTACGGAGAAAAACGAGTTTTTTTGACAAGATCATGGGGTGGGGAGCATTTGCTGTATTTTCTGGTAGTTGATAGGATGAAGAATGCAGAGAGAAGAATGTACGAGATTAAAACAATTCTTACATAAGCAAAACAAAAAAGTCAAAGAGGCATATGAGAACAAAGGTCAAATACAATAATTAATTGAACAGAAGATAAAAAAGAGAGAGAAGAGATTTTCGATTAGTGCAAAAAAAAGGATTTAAACGAAGGGAGCATGGTAATGAGGAAGAATGCAACAGGAAAAGTTTTTAAGCGACATAGAAGAACGAGAAAAAGAAGAAATATACATCATACAAAAAATGAAAAAATAAAGAAGTGCTGAATACAATGGGATAACATGTGAAAATGTAAAACATGGTGAAGAGGAACTAATGCAAAAATGTGATTTAGTGAACGAAATATGGAAAAAAGAAAATATGTTGAGGGATGATGTCATCATACCCATGCGCAAAAAAGGTGACAGAATAGAATATGAGAACTACAAAGGCATATCGTAATGTATCACATGAAGTTTTTGAATTGTAGTTGAAACTGAGGTAATTGAATCGCATTTAAAAAAATATCAACCTGGTTTTCAGAAGGCAAAATCCACAACGGATCAAATTTTTGTGGTGGTGGTTTTGGGTTAAGAAAAATTGCTATCGTAAACAATATGTAATTACTGAATTTACGCAAACTTTCTGTCATGAGTTACTAAGTGTGTTTCGCATACGATCCAAATGTAGGAAATTCAAGGAAGCGGATATGCATCTTAAACA